ATTTAAAATTTTAAATAAGCCATTTGAACTGTTAATATTCTATTTGTGTACAAAACATATATACCAATGACATCATGTTGAATAGTGCTTTGAAGTTTGCAAACTGTTTTTACATTTATTATGTCATCTATATATAAACCGTAATTACTAGTATGCTTCTCTCTTTACTTAATCCACCCTACTTCAGCTTTTTTTAAGAGGGATGGTAAAAAGGGGCTAATATTTTCCCCATAAAGTTCTGTTCTTCTAAATTATGTGTCTTTTCTACTTTAAACTTGCAAATATGGATCTGTAGAGATTTATAATTATTAAGAAATTTTGACTTTACAAGTAAAGAAGTAAAGACTTGCCTTTACTCATTTTTTTTTTTAAATTTAAGAAAACTTTGCATAAAGCTTAGCTAATGCTTTGTTTGTGCTAAGGCTGTAAAAGAGGTACCATTTTATTGGTGTGATCAAGAGCTAGAAAGGGTAGAGGAAACTAATATTAGTTCTTTTCCTCTGATCTCTTTCTCCTTTCTTTATTCATGTCTCCTTTCTTCCTTTCTCCATCCTTCATTGCTAAACCTAGCAGGTAGTAAATTCTAGCGAACATAACAGACCTGCCACAGAGCAGAAGTGTTGGCTCTCTAGGCCTTTGTTTTAACGTCTAGGACCTTTCAAACTCTTTAGGGAAGCTAATAAGCTGGTAGTAGGTTTCTTTCTCTCTTTGGGTTAAAATTGTTTTAGCACAAATCAGAAATTTGAAAAGAAATCATAAGTACTACCTCACTCTTCTCACAAATGAGCTGACATCTGTACTTCAGAAGTTTAGCATATAAAAAAACTCAGATTTCATTTCTCATTGAAAGCTTACATGCTTTTTTTAGGAGACTGCACGACGGCTAAAGGAAGCAGGGAGTATTAGTGGATTTGGATTTTTATATACTGTGCTAGAATTTGCCACCTGCCAGTGATCTCTGATAGACATGGCTAGGCAGCCTAAGGTGGTTGAAACAGTGGGTCTGGACTCCGGCTTTCACCTCATTCGTCCCTTCCTACCCCATTTCAAAGTAAAAATAGCAGTTAAAAGCAGGGCAGCAATACAGTTACCTAGGGTAACTATGATGTTCTCCACAATCAAATGTCTTCCCTTGAATTTTTCCAAATGATGAATATGAAGAAATCAATAATAAAAGCTCTCACTTTTTGCTTTCTGTTAGATTTGTGGTGATGTTATTATTGTTATGCCACATCACATCAATGTGTGTGTGTGTGCGTGCGCGCATGTGTGTGTGTGTGTACGTGCATAGACGTACTATTTTATTTGTATCAAGGATAGCAAATAAGTACATGCTTATATTAATTTCTCATGGAACTGATATTCTTAACATTTCCAAAAAGTTAAAAGTTCTTAGAAATAACATTGTTGTAAAGGGAAAAGCAACTTTTAATTATAAGTAGCTCCAGTATTTTTAATCTAGCATTCTTGCAGTATTTCTTTACTTGTCCTTCATTGGGAATAATGTGTAAATAAAATAAGTTGTTCTTGTTTAATTTAAAAAATATTCAATCCCACCTCTGCCTTGGGAGCAACATTATTTTTTGTATCCAATGTTAACAAAATATTCTTTAAAAAAGGAGCAGACAAAATTTAAAGATACTTTTCAGAAAAACATTTCTTGTGAAATTAATAAAATTGGTTAATAATATAAAGTTGCATTTACAGGGGACGTGCTGTGCTTCAAAATCTATACTAGGAACTTTAAAAATATACACCATAGCTACAGGAACTCTTTACATTAGTTATTAAATTGGTTTCCATTTTATTAGAGAAGGAAGTGGACATTTAGAAAAGCTAGGTAAATATTGCACCTGAAGGTGTCTGGTTCTAGACCTGGTGTCTGTTATACCAGAGTAAGGTGCTTTACAAGATGCACTAGAGATAAAGAGTTGTAAACACAAATAATTCTCTTACTTGTTGTGTTAAGGTAAAGTGATTAGCTTGATGATAAAATTTTTACATGAAAGGAATCATCCCTGTACTAATGACATACATACATGTATATATGTATATAATGTCATGTTGAGGGGAGAGAAAGAAAGAGAGAGAATGCTAAAGCTTCCTCATTGCATCTCTGCAGCAGTGGTTCATATATCAGGTCAGCCCACATGGTGGGTAAAATTCATAAATTGTGCTGTTCACATATTGAGGTAGCTCTTTGGTTTCACTTTCTAGATAATTCAGAATGATACGAATCAGGAGAGTCTTGGGAGTTATTAGGGAGTTGCAGAAAAAGCTTCATGTGTGATCTTCTGAAGAGAAATGCAGGACATAGAGAATTGGGTTGAGCGCATATTGTGTGTAAGACACTGTGCTAAGTGTCAGGGGTATGCTGTGAAGAGTGAGCCATGGTGCCTGCATCTTACAGTTTGGTGGGACTATGTATGTATTTCAAGATGGAGCATAGGACGTGGTACAGTGAGAAGAACTGAGAAGAAACTAGGGAAAGAAACAGTAATTAATAGTTAAAAAGAGGAAAGAAAAAGAAGAGGGTTGGAGGAAAACAGTTGAAGTCTCTTCTACCAGAATGTAAGTTTCCTGAATCCAAACTTGTTTATTGTTGTATTCCTGGTGTCTGGCTGAGTGCCTGACACAAGGTATGTGCTTAGTAAACACCTGTTTAAATAAATGAATGAAGAATTGGAAAGAGAGGTGAATGGAAAATTGAGCAGAAAAAGAGAGCATGAGCAAACTCTCTGGTGTCTCTTCTTATAAGGACACTAATCCCATCATCAAGTCTTCTCTCTCAGGAACTCATCTAACCCTAATTACCTCCCAAAGGCTCCATTTCCAAAACCATCACAGCGGGCGTTAGGATTTCAACATATGAATTTAGAGGAAATACAATTCAGTCAGTAGCACATATTACAGATACATTTATTTCAATATAAATGGAACCATGCTACATGTTATGTTCTTCATCATGCCTTTTAATTTAAAACTATGTCTAGGAAGAACCTTTTATGTGTGCATCTCATTCTTTTTAGTGACTATATGCTATTCTATTTCTTAAGTGGGTTAAAATTTATTCAGTTATTCCCCTGTTGATGAACATTTAAATGTTTTTAGTTTTTTGTTTTATAAACAATGTTGTAACGAACATCTTCATATGGACTATTTGTGTGTACGTTGTAAAGTATTTTGGTAAGACATTTTTAGATGGTCAAAGAATATTCTAATTTGAAATTTGAGAGACAATTCCAAGTTGACCTCTAAAAATTTGTGCCACTTTTCTCACATCAGCAGGATATATGTCTTCCTTCCTTCCTTCCTACAATATTGAGAGTACTGGGTATTTTCACTGTCTCATTCTTGTCAGTTTTAGTAGGTGAAGAATAACCTTATTTAATCTGCAGATATTTAATTGTGGGTCAGATTGCATTAAATATTTCCACGTGTGTATCGATCATTTGAATTTTTCTTGATTAAGTTCCCCTTCTGTTCTTTGTCCATTTTCATATTAGGTTGTCTTTTTTCAAAGGATTTTTCTACATGGGGTTTTGCTTATAATTTACATTGCAAGTATTTCTTTAAGTGTTTTTTTTTTTACTTTTGACTTAATCACCTCTTTAAATTTTAATTTTCATATACTTGAGTTATTTAATATTTTCTTTTGTATATTTTGCATTTCATATCTTGCTTTAAAAGGCTGAAGAAAAAATGTTAATGTGATGTGATAACTGTGTGTATTTTTAAAATTATTGATAGCAATTTTTTTTAATTGAACTGTAGTTGACTCACAATAGTTTCAGATGTGCAGCAAAGTGATTCATTGTATATATATGTACATTGTATATATATATGTGTATATATACATTTTTTTCAGTTTCTTTTCCATTATAGGTTATTACAGAATATTGAATATAATTCCCTGTATGTACAGTAAATCCTTGTTGTTTATTTTAAATATAGTAGTGTGTATCTGTTAATCCCATACTCCTAATTTATCCCTCCCCTCCCTTTCTCTTTTGGTAACCATAGTTTTCTATGTTTGTGAATCTATTTCTGTTTTGTAAATAAATTCATTTGTATTGTTTTTTAGATTACAGCTGTTTATGTTTTTGTGGTGGAAATATTTCTATTCAGAACCAATTGCATCTTATGTAACCAAAAAATGATCTGGTCTATGTGTACATATTAATTGTGTGTGTTTAATTATCTTCAAATCTAAATAGAAAATACCCCTAAAGCATTATTGCAATATGTGAAAACAGAAATAGCTTATATCAGTTTAAATTGCCATGTGACTGAGCCTTTCTTTGCTTTAAAATGAGGATAATAGTATCTCTCTGATAGGTTGCATTGAGGATTAAATGGGACGACATACGCAAATAATGCTAGATACCATTTACTCAAATGCCTACTAAGTACCAGTCATTACTTATGCATTAGTGTATGCGATCCTCACAACAATGCTTTCAAGCAGATGTTACAGTACTGAAAATACAAATGAGAAAATAGATTCAATGAGCTGAAGCAAGTTGTCCAGGATCTCAGATAAAAAGTGGCAAAGCCAGCATGTAAATGAATACATGTTAATCTGAAAGCAAAAACCATGGTTATTTCACTATACATTCTTCCTGGGAGATGACAGGATTTTTTACTTTAATTCTTTTCTCGTTCTCCATTTTCTGTTTCTGTTTCTCTTTTTCTATCTGATGAATAAGACTCTCTAAAACAGACTGCCCAAGAGTACTTACTGTCATTACTGATATGTTCTTTTCTGAGCTGTCCAGTAAGGTAGCCATTAGCCACATGTGTCTGTTCAGCACTTGAAATGTGGTTGATAGAAGTGAGGAACTGAAATTTTACTCTTATTTAAGATTTAATTTAAATTAAATTGCACGTGGCTACTGTTTTGGACATCGCAACCTTAGATGTAGGAATGCTTTTTTTTGTGTGTATCACATGAGTATAATTAATGTATTGATTGATAATGAGGAAACTGTTCATTCTAGGTTGAAAACTGTAGCAGAAGATCTTATGCAGACACAACAAATGCTTTTAAACAAGGAGGAAGCTGTCCTGGAGCTAGAAAAGAGAATTGAGGAATCTTCTAAGACCTATGAAAAGAAGTCTGAGTGAGTAAAATAAAGATAATTTGAAGGAAGAAAGTTTAATTGATGTAATTTTATAGAAATACTTCAGCTACATGGTATTATAGACTTAAATTTCATTTTAAGTATAAAACTGTGTATGGTTGAGTTACTTTATAGGACACTAGAAAGTGATTTTGTGTTTTTATCAATATAGTGTACTGATCATATATCTCAGTATTTTAATCATTTGAACTATTTTCTGAAAAACCCTGTTAAAAGCTATCTTTACTTCCCCTCATCAGTGTCCACCAGAGTCACTGTGAATTCCTTGTTAAGAAAGTGACAGGTCAGTATTATCTAGAAATTGGCTTCTACTGTGTTAGAAGAAAGCAGATAAACTTACTAGAAGATAGTCTGCTTCACCTATAAAACTCCTGTGATTTGCTGTACTGGTTTGCTTTTCTACAGTTTTTCTTGTTGATTTCTGGATCTGTAAATATATTCATGGATCCTCTGACTTTACCTGTTTTGGTATATTCTTGTTTTTATAGATTTTAATAATTATGATTTCTACTGTTTTAAAGTTAAAATTTTGATCTAAAATTATAATTTCTAACCTGACTTTGGTCATTGTTTGCATCTCCAGGGGCTTACTACAGTTTCTCTAATCTTTGACTAGAACATACAGATTTCTTGCCCTCATACTTTCACAGTTGGCTTGATTTGTCAAGACTTTCAAGGAAATTGTGATGTGTAGGACTTCTCTGGTCTATACGTGCTCTTACTTCTATACAACTTTTCAAATATTTTTCACTTCTCTCAAATCTCCAATCCTCTTGTATCCTGCATTGTAGTCAGCAGATGGTCCTCTCCTACATTACAGAAAAAACTAGAATCATCAGGTGGCAAGTGCCTTATTTTATGGGATTAGATATCTAAATTCACCATATTTGTACCCATTCTCTTTACTTAATTCCATAGAGGATCTATGCCTTGTCCTGTCTGTTCCTTATGCCTGTTTTTTTTTGTATCCCATTGTCTCTTACTTTCCTAGAAATCTTACATTATTTCATATATTATGAAATTCTCTTTCCTTTTCATCTTGACTGGGTCCTGTGCTCACTTTTTAAATATTTTCAAGTTAGTTAACCTCTACTTCTCTTCCCACACTAGATAACCTTTCTTTAATCTCTATATTTTCTCAGCTACTGTCTTTGCCTTCTGTTTCTTAGTCAAACATGTTCTAAGAGTGATAATGTTCATTTATGTTTTCAACTCTCACTCAGTACTCAACCCACAGATATCTGGCTTCTGCCCCATCACTATTTTTTTAAATACATTTTTATTGAAGTATAGTCAGTTTACAATGTTGTGTCAATTTCTGGTATACAGCACAATACTTCAGTCATATAGGAACATACATATATTCATTTTCATATTCTTTTTCACCATAAGTTACAAGATATTGAATATAGTTCCCTGTGCTATACAGTATAAACTTGCCCCATCACTATTGAAATAGGTATCTATAAGATCACCAGCGACTGCTCCATTCCTAAATTTAGCAACTCTTTTGCTTGAACTCCTCACAGTTTCTTTGTTGACTTCATGTTGTTCTTTTTCCTTGGACTTTGGACCAAAATGTTAGATCTTATTCCTCTCTTTTTGGCCACTCCTTTATAAACTGATTCTCCTTCACTCAGAGTTACTCAAGGCATAACCCTAGGCTATGTCACTCTCCTCCCTACACTCTATCCCTAGGTGATCCCCTGAAGGTGACCCATATTTATTACTCTTGCTCAGATTTCTTCTCTGAGCTCCATGGCCATGTAATCAAGTGCTTACTTGACATGCCGCCTTGGATGTCTTAGAAGTACCCTCAGTTTCTCATGTCTAAGGCTGAATTAAACATCTGTTCAAATATGTAGGAATATATCTGACCAAGGAGATGAAGGACTTATAGGCAGAGAACTATAAAACATTGACTAAGGAAATTAAAGGTGACTTGAAGAAATGGAAAGATCCCATGCTCTTGGATTGGAAGAATTAATATTGTTAGAATGGCCACAGTACCCAAAGCAATCTACAGAGTTAATGCAATCTCTATCAAATTACCTGGGGCATTTTTCACAGAACTAGAACAAAGAATCCTAAAATTTCATATGGAATCACAAAAGACCCAGAATTGCCAAAGCAATACTGAAGAAAAAGAATGAAGCTGGAGGAATAACTCTCCCAGACTTCAGACAATACTACAGAGCTACAGTAATCAAAACAGCATGGTATTGGCACAAAAACAGACATATGGATCAATGAAACAGACTAGACAGCCCAGAAATAAACCCACAGACTTACAGTCAATTAATCTTCGACAAAGGAGGCAAGAACATACAATGGAGAAAAGACAGTCTCTTCAGCAAGTGGTGTTGGGAAAACTAGACAGCCACATGTAAAAAACTCAACAGCCACACGTAAATCAGTGAAATTAGAACACTCTCTCACACCATACACAAAAGTAGACTCAAAATGGCTTAAAGACAAATATAACACAAGACACTATAAACCTCCAAGAAGAAACAGGCATAACATTCTCTGACGTAAATCTTCGCAGTGTTCTTCTAGGGCAATAGAAATAAAAACCAAATAAATAAATGTGATCTGATTAAACTTATAAGCACAGCAAAGGAAACCACAAGCAAAACAAAACGACAACCTACGGAATGGGAGAAAATATTTGCAAATAATGTGACTGACAAAAGCTTAATTTCCAGAATATATAAACAGCTCATACAACTTAATAACAACAACGACAGAAAACCCAACTCAATCCAAAAATGGGCAGAAGACCTAAACAAGCAATTGTCCATTGAAGACATATAAATGTCCAATAGGCACATGAGAAAATGCTCAGTATCACTAATTATCAGAGAAATGCAAATCAGAATTGCAATGAAGTATCATCTCACACCAGTCAGAATGGCCATCATTAAAGTCTATGAACAATAAATTCTGAAGAGGGTGTGGAAAAAAGAGAACCCTCCTACACTGTTGGTGGGAATGTAGTTTGGTGCAGCCAATATGGAGAACAGTATGGAGATTCCTTAAAAAACTAAAAATAGACTTACCATATGATCTAGCAATCCCATTCCTGGGCATTTATCTGGAGAGAATTCTAATTTGCAAGATACATGCAGCCCAATGTTCATAGGAGCACTATTTGCAGTAGCTAAAACATGGAAACAACCTAAATGTCCATCTACAGATGACTGGATAAAGATGTGTTATATTTATACAATGGAATACTGCTTAGCCATAAAAAAGAATAAAATATAAAGCCATTTGCAGCAACATGGGTGGACCTAGAGATCGTCCTTCCAAGTGACGTAAGCCAGAAAGAGAAAGAAAAATACCATATGATATCACTTATATGTGGAATCTAAAAAAAAAAGAAACAAATTTATTTACAAAACGTAAACTGACAGACATAGTAAATAAACTTATGTTAACCGGGCGGAAAGGAGGTGGAAAGGGATAAATTGGGAATTTGAGATTTGCAGATACTGTCTACTATATATAAAATAGGTGAACAAGAAGTTCATACTATATATAGCACAGGGAACTATATTCAATATCTCATAGTAAACCCATAATGAAAAAGAATGTGAAAAGGAATTTATGTATGTATTTGTGTGAAACATTATGCTATACACCAGAAATTGACACAACATTATAAACTGACTATAATTCAATAAGAAAAAAAAGAAAGAAAAAGCAATAGCATATTTGTTCCTGTAAAAATATAATATATGAAAGACTAATGTTAAAACCTTTACATAATTTAACATAAATTTCTCCAAAACGTACTATAACAGTGAAAAAATAAACTCTATGAGAAATAATTTGATAGCTTTGATTCCTATAATTAAATGATGTGAAAAATAAACTTAAAGAATGATTTTTATTTGACATAACATTCTCACTAACAAATGAAGAATTTTAACTGATATAAATAATGCAGGTCTCAGTTGAGGTATAGCTATTGCAAAATTTTATTTAGAAAAATAAAGTGAAAGGAATAAAACCAATCATCTGAAATGGTATAATTTTAACACAACACAAAGTATCAGTCTAATATACGTATCTTTACTCATTACTTCCAAAGCGTATTTATTCAAATGGAAATAATATCAGTCTTCTCCTGATTTATGATCCTTGACTACTGTATTAGAAAATAGCTTATAGGAAAATATACCAAGCATATGTCACTTATGACTCATTGGTATAAAGTGCTGGTAGTATTACTGTTGATTTTAATGCTAGGTTTGAGTTCCAAAACGTGAACGGTTATTCAGTTTTGTATTGTTCTGTATCATTATCACCCAGTACTTAGAAGTACTTTATGCAATTAAAATCATAACTCTTAGAGCCATGCAGGATCTTAAGAGATCAGTTGGTTCAATCTCCCCGTCTTTCAAATTATGTGACATCTGAAGGCCAGAAATTTTAAGAGACTTGCAAAGATTCACATCTAGCTTGTAACAAAGGTAATACGTAAACCATCTGGAGTATTCTGGTTTGCAAATTCAGGGACCTTTTATTTTTGTCTCAGAATTTTTAGATTATATATATTTAAAATGTGCTGTGTAAATAGGGAATTCATTTATCAATATTTATTGCACATCCACTAGATGCTATGAATACAGTGAAAGGTAAGGCATATGTGGCATCATGTCTCATGGAGCATATGCTTCTGCTGAACAGGAAGTAAACAATTGTGACAGTTGCTGTGGAACAAGAAGTTCAGGTAGAGGAATGATAGCAAAGCACCTACTTAAGATAGGTGGTCAGAGTTCTCCCATGAAGTGGTGTTTTTCCAGAGATGTGAAGGACAGAAAGTGCCCTCCGTGTGAACAGTGCGTGGAAAGTTAAGTCCGAGATGGGGAGTAGATAGCATATGCGAAAGTCCTGATCCCTTCCACATTTTAAATTTATTTATGGCTTCCCATGCATCTTGTGTTACACAATCATGCATTTATTATAATTTTCTTCTTATTGAAATATACATAGCTTGTTTGCTCAATGGTGGTATAAGCATATAAGTTACTGACTACAGCAGTACCTTTTAAAAAGTAATTGAACAAACTCAAGATGTTACTGTGTGTGAAATGGTCATTATGCGTAGAGCTCAGTGGGATTAATTGGATAAAGCTAAAGTTGCTCATTGATTTCATGATCGGACGTATTGATTGAAAAAAGTTAGTGCTTGAGCCACACTAAAGGGTATATACCTCCCACAAATCTAATTGTTCTGAAACCACTAAACTAAAAGCCAGGAAATTAATATTTTAACCTAATTCTTGGTGTTAGGACAGTGTCTCAGAATTCCGATTGCCAATGTGATATAATAGATATTTGAAACTCCTGAAGAAGAATAAAAAAGGGTCTGTTTTCTAGAACAGATTATTTAGGGACCCATGATATATGAGATGTCAAGAACCTCATGTTACCAGAGGAAGCTTGATGCAGCAGCAGGGATGCATATTTTTAAATTAATTTTTAAATTTTGAGATAATTACAGATTGACGTGTAGTTGTAAGAATTAATACAGATTCTGTAAACCCTATACTCGGTCTCCCTTACTGGTAGCATCTTACAAAATTATAATATGATATCATAATCCAGATATTAACATTGCTACAGTCGTGATGTGTAACATCCCTATCACTGCAAAGGATCACTCATTTGGCACTTTTACAGCTGTGCTGCCTTCCGTCTACCCCCTTCTTAACTCCTGGCAACCATTAATCTGTTTTCCATTTCTATAATTTTGTCTTTTCCAGAAATTTATATAAATGGAATCACACTGTATGTGCTGTTTTGAAATTGTCTTTTTACATTTATCATAATTCTCTAGAGATTCATGCAGGTACTTTCATTCCTTTTTTATCCTGAAGTTGCATTCTGTGGTAAGTGTGTTAGTTTCCTAGGACTGCCGTAACAAAGTACCAGAAATCAAGCAGCTTAAAAAGGACAGACATTTATTCCTTCATAGTTCTAGAGGCCAAAAGTCTGAAGTAAAGTGTTGGCACACTGGTTTCAGCCTTTCATAGAGTTGAAAATAAAATGAAATACATGTTTGTTACTCCCATAAATACATTTTTTGAATTTTAGTCAGATACTGAGTGTTTACTTTTTTGGTGACTATTATTCCTTACTTGTCATTTTATATTTTATTTTTGAAAGCTCATTTTCATTCTTTAAAGTATACTTTCCTATTGATTTTGTCTACATTTGTGAGGTCATTAACCTTTTTTGGGGGGACTGATCTTGCAGATATACTTGAGAAATTTTTTTTTACCATCTTATATTGTACATTTAAAATAGCTTCTTATACTGCTATCATTGGTGCGATTCTTTTGGTAGCTGGGAAACGCAAAGGGGGAACCATCAGGGAGCTTTAGGTTTATATGGGTGTAATCTTTTCCAGGACCTGGTCCTTACCGATCTGTGTTCACAAAAATGATTATTTCAAAAATCAACTTTATCTGGAGAGATTTGCCAAGAAATAAAAAAAGATAACTAATTTATTATGAGAAAGTAGTTAACTACCTAATAAGCAAACCAACATGAATTTATTAGGAAATCTGTGTGGATTGAGAGCACAGGTTACAGTTTGTTGAATGATAATGATGTAAATGATAATTGCCATTTACTGAATTCTTACTTTATGGTAGGCACTGTGCTAGTGATTTTTCAAATATTATCGCATTGAAGTCTCAGAAAAAGCCTAAAAGTAAGTGTATTATCATCAGTTTTTCCAGTGATAAAATTGAAGATAAGAAAAGCATAGCGATTAAGTCATGAAGTTGAACCTGTCCTCGTTCAGTATAATTACGGTCTTTCCACTGTGCCATGCTGATTTTACTTGGGAAGGACTAATGAGCTCTGACAGTACAGCGTATCTCTCTCTATTACTTTTGCTGTTAACTCCACTGGTTGGAGAGGTTTGTCTTTTGCATATTGCTAGGTCTCTCTTATAAATACTCATTTGTTACACTTTTTCCAAATTTCACTCAGTTCTCTGAGTCCTCTTTATTAGAATGCTCACTTGGAGCTCATTGCAGCATGATTGAGGGGATTACAGCTTTCTGTATAGCATTCACCGAGGCTGCATCCTGTGCTCAGTTTGATTGGAATTTAGTTTTCAAAATATTGATCAGCAACATATTTATAAACAAATCTCTCTTACTGTGTATTCCTTTTGTCTGATTACTTATTCAGGTTATGTTGATCTTTAAATGTTCCAGTTTGAAAAGGTAACATTTTCTGACCTTATTCTCCAGCTCTGAAGCTTTCCCTAAATGATAATCTATTGTCTTTTATATAGTAATAACTTACATTCAGTAGTGCATGGCACAATTCTTTAAGGTATTAATATGCTGTGTATGACAGTGTTTCCAGATGTGTTCTCCACCACCGCTACCTTTTCTCTTGTAGCTTTAATGTGAGTGAATTAGTTTGAAATCCCCATTAGGGGCAGCCTCTAAGGGCTAAAAAGTCACAAAAAGGCAGCATGTAGCCTATGTAGTTCTCTAAGGAGATATGGGGAAGTCTTCTGTCTGTATAACGGTGACACTGCAAAACTTTGGAGGCTTATGTTATACTCATTCCCTCAGTCTGTTCTCAGTCAGAACAGCTTTCCCCAACTCTAAACACACACCCCTCACAATATGTACACAGCTTGGTTCCAGGCTGTCACCTTGATTTGATTTATTTTACTCTAGGCACAGATCTGACTTTAGCTCTATTCCATTTGAGATTTGAAGTAAATTAAGATTCTGCTTCAGTCATATTAATTCATTTTAGGCTCTACACTTCTGGACCTTAGTGTCTGTACTTTGTGAGGTAGATGGTTTAGCTGTAAAATAAAATGAATGCCATAGATCATAATATATTTGAAAGCATCTTGAATTTGCTTTTGCTTCCAAACATTTCCTTCAGTTTTGTTGATGTTAGCTAAATTTAATAACTACTATGGTAACTCAAAATTTGTTCAGTTTCATAATTCTTATGATTCTGAAGGACTCATAAAGGGGAAAATGAAGGAAAATAGGAGTATAATATACATATATAATTTTGTTTAAATTTTTTTTCTTAAAGAAATTGAAATAATTTATATTAAATGTGTTCTCTTTTAGTATTGTACTTCTGCTAAGCCAAAAACAGACACTCGAAGAGCTGAAACAGTCAGTCCAGCAGCTGAGGTGCACTGAGGCAAAGTTTATAGCCCAGAAAGAATTACTAGAGCAAAAAGTGCAAGAAAATGATGGGAAAGAGCCACCTCCAGTAGTAAATTATGAAGAAGATGCACGATCAGTTACATCCATGGTAAGCCAAAGAATAATCAAATTAGAAACTTGAAAGAGTAGTATATAGGTAATAAGTGAATGCAAAAAATAATTCCAGTTGCTATAACAAAGTATTATTCTTGTTAATATGCAGGTCCTATTAAACTTGTTTGTAAATGCAAAATAGACTTGTCAGTCACCTCAGGTCACCTGGAGAGCACTTTCAGGAACCATCTGTAGAGTCAAAGGAAAAAGCTCTTCTCTCGCCTTCAAAACTGAAAACAAAGACTGCAATTGTTTTTATTCCTGGGAGACAGCAGGAATGTAGGGTGTTATTCTTAAGATAGAAGTAAGAAATAAGGAGAAAGATATTTGTTGATTTTTTTTCCTTTTTAAGAACAATAGAATTTATCTGAGATTGATGATGTGTTTATTGTTTTCACAAAACAAAACATTGATTTTGTTTAAAAAAGATTTTTCCTTATAATTATCCTTAAACTACAATAAACACATGGAAATCTACCAACTAGAAGAAATTCAACTTTGTACAGCTTTTACTAACTGTTTAATAATGCCTAGTATAAATACTTTCTTTCTCTCTTCCTGTTCCTTCCTTCCTTCCTTTATCTTATGTTGGTAGGTCTCACCAAGGGGCAGTTTTGCCCCCCCAGGGAAATTTGGCAATGTCTCCAGAAATTTTTGGTTGTCACAACTGTGGACACTCTTGACTTCTAGTGGTGAGAGGCCAGTGATGCTGCTAAATATCATACAATGCACATTACAGCCCCTCCCTTCATACACCCCACACAAAATTATTCAACCTAAAATAGCAGTAGTGCCAAGGTTGAAGAAGTCTCAGCTGTATCCTTGGTTTATCTGTGAGTATCTGGATGCTGTCTATAAACAGAACTATTCTAGTTAATGATGCTATAGCTGATATTTTAGTAATTTTTAGTTTATGTGATTCTAAATAGTACAATGTGATTGTTAAATGGATTCAGATGTCTCCATAGGGGAAGCAAAAGGCTGCATTTGAAATTCCCAATTCCAGATAAATCTGGAAATCAGTATGAAGTGTTTAAATTATTGTGGTTATTGCTATTTTTATTATTAATAGAGCCATAGTGATCTATACATTACATTGTGAATTATTAATTATAATTCTTTGCTCTCCTTTACTGTCCTACCAGATAGTAAGGGTCCTACCATGTAGACCAAGGACCCCACTTGATTCCCTTTCTTGCTTTATGATCCTTGATAACTGCCTGGCATATTCATTTTTTTAGGGGAACTTCTGAAGTTTTTTCTTTTGCTTGGCTTTTGAGACCTTAGCAAGTAAATCTTTTACTTTCTGAGTGTGGTTTATAGTGTTTCCTTGTCTCCATGTGGATGTGGAATTATTTACTTCATAGTCTGATTTTGTGACAGATAGGGTTTTTTTGGGGGGGGGTTAGCAATGTCTACTTTAATTTCTACAATTAATGATCTATCACAATAGAGAATACATAAAACCAAGAGTAAAGATGCTTTCAGGTACGAGACAGCTATTTGGGGAGAATTAACACTATAATCACCAATATTACTATTATATCTGTTTTTAATTATTCTATATAATCAAATCAAGCCTCTCTTTTCCTCTTATATTTTACAGATAATTCTTTTTTTAACATTTTTTATTGATTTATAATCATTGTACAATGTTGTGTCAAATTCCAGTGTTCAGCACAATTTTTCAGTCATACATGGACATATACACACTCATTGTCACATTTTTTTCTGTTAGTTACCATAACGTTTTGTGTAAATTTCCCTGTGCTATACGGTATAATCTTGTTTATCTATTCTACAATTTTGAAATCCCAGTCTATCCCTTCCCACCCTCCACCCCCCTTTGTGACAGATAGGTTAAAACTGGCTATCTAATTTATTTTAAGTAATTCTCTATGCAGATGACCCATGTTGGAATTATTATTATTATGATAAACTAAAGACAGTTATCCAGGTCACTAAATGATAGCATATCCCCATTTGATAACTACAACTAAAAACTAGACTGAATTTAAAATACAGCAGTTCATTAATTCTTACTTGTAATCACCTGGAGTTTTATCTTTCATAATCATTGAAGAAAAGATTTTTCAGTAAATAAATTAGTAATATTTTAGAGAGAATATATAATACAGTTTAAGAATATAAACTACTTTCTGGTACTTTCAAATTTGCTCTTGTACCTGTTTATTAAATGATGATAATACCTTATTACCAATTAGTGCATCATATTTTATTTTACTTAATTTATTTTAAATACTTGAAATGCTGTTTCTTTCTACATGTCTTAATTCTTCCTTGAAGCAATGCCTCTAGTAAGTCTTTAAGGAATTTACAAAGGAATGCTATATGTAGTTTAAAGTACTAAAGTAATAGTTTGTAAATCAAACTGGGTATTCCCCAAATTGATGCCAGTTAATGAGATTTTACAGTGTATTTCATAAAACAATTAGAAATAATTGCAGTACGTAGTTCTTAAAACTTAATAATACTCCCATTGTATATCGGTGAAAGTTTTACATAATTCAGTCTGTTCAGTTAATAATTCAAATATTACTTTTTTATTGACGTATAGTCAGTCAAATTACAATATGTCATTTCCTAGTGTACAGCATGATGTTTCAGTCATACATACATATATTTGTTTTCTAGAATATAACTTTTCAGTTTATTCAGAAACAGTCAAAATATTAAAACTGTAAATGGTTTTCCCCCAAATGATTGTTTAAGCATTGTTTTATGAATAACATTACAAAAAAAGCCTGAAATTAACATAAGCAGCTCTGTTGTTTTTTCCTCTTTATAAATTCCAACCTTATAAATGGTGTAAAATTTCAGCAAGGGAAGTTTAGTTGAATATTGGAAGAATTGGGAGAGCTAAAAATTAAACCATGATATCATGGAAAATTGTGAAAACTTAGCCTAAATATTATTTAAGAGTAAGTATTAACTATTTCACATGATTCTAATTAATGGCAGTGTTAACCAAAATACAGACTCTTCGGTGGTGAATGCTTCTGTGGAAGAGTAACTTTAAGGTGCTGCACCACTGAAATGGGCCAGTGATTCTGTATTCTTATAAAAATTCTAAGGTGATTCAGATGTGTCATCAGGGTTGGGACTGTAGTCAGGCTCTTAGATGTATTGATGTTTATTTCATGTATATAATTCAATGAAAATTAAAGCCTATCTATTAATTTAAATCTAAAAAATTGTGGAGGCAAGTAATAGAAACATCTTTGCCAAGAAAAGTCATTCATCTAATGTTGCCTCTTTTCACCTGTGTATATTATGAAATACTATTAAAATAAAAGATTGTATTTCAGTTTTTTCTAATAATGTGCCTTAGTTCACATGTAAATTAATTTATAGATACTCTTTGAATTCATAAGTATGAATTGTAGATTTTCTGCAGGATTAACTTACGTATTTCTTATTTGTAAAGGCAAAACCTTGATTAACTTCTCTGAGTAGATGGTACGTGTACATGTACTGGGGTCTAAATGTCCTTTCCTTAGTCCCCAGTTCCCTACCTCAGAGATAACCTTCCAGAAACACCATATGCAAAAAACCAAATTTATATTGCATGTTTTCTGCTTTTTTATATTATACATCTGAAACTAATATAATGTTGTCTGTCAATGATATGACATGAATAATATGAAATGAAAAGACTAACTCAGAAAGCTATTTGCACCCCCATATTCCTAGTAGCATTATTTACAATAGCCAAGGTACAGAAACAATGTAAATGTCCATTAGTAAATGAACAGCTAAAGAAGATGTGAGATTGATATATATAAAATATTTATATAAATGGAATATTATTCAGCCATAAAAATGAATACTGCCATTTGTGAAAATATAAATGGACCCTGAGGGCATTTTGCTAAGTGAAGTAAGTCAGAGAAAGATAAATACTGTATGATCTCACTTAAATGTAGAATCTTAAACAAAACAAAACAAAAATATGAACTCATAGATACAGAGAACAGATTGTGTGTGGTTGCCAGAGTCAGGGGTGGGGTATGGGTGAAATGGGTGAAGGTGGTCAAAAGGTATAAACTTCCAGTTATAAAATAAATAAGGGGAATATAATATACAGCATGATGATGACAGTTAAAGTACTCTGTTGTACATTCAAAAGTTGCTAAGAGAGTAGATCTTGAAAGTTCTCATCACAAGAAAACAAATTTTATAACTGTGTGGTTATGATGATCATTTCTCAGTAACACAAATATCAAATCATTATATTACACATCTGAAACTAATATAATGTTATCTGTCAATTGTATTCAGTTAAAAAAGATTCCTTTAAATACTCATTTTTCTTTAGTTCATACAAATAAAGTCAATTCATATCACAGACTAGTTAATGGATGATGCCAGAGACTTTTTTTGCATTAGGCCTCAGTATGTTCATTATCAGGGGAGAAAAAAGTAACCCTTAAAAATTCGAACTGTTTTTATACTGTATTTTAACTATTTCCTGTGCTCGTATTTTTATGCATATAGTGAATATGTAAGCCAAATCAAGTAAACAGTAAATGAAAAGTAACTTTTTTATTTTTATACACATACATGCATAATATATAAACCAAATGAAAAATCTACTTTTCATTTTCATATATTTATATATAAATATGTATATATGTGTACATATTTCTAATTTGTCTTTTTAATTATGGATCTCTTAATATCTTAGTACAAACTTAACACCCAAAGGTTATCTAGCTCTAAAGGGATATAATAAAAGGACAAAGTAAAGTTAGGCAAGAATTAAATACCTGCTAATTTCCCAACGTGTAAATTAGGACTCACAGTTTTCCTCACTCTTGGGTTTGTTGTGAGGAATGGTTCAAAGTTTACACATTTAAGAAGTGCATAGAATAGTGCCTGCCACTTAGTAAGCTACTGTTGTCTTTTATGTAGATGATATTTGAGTATCACAGGAATGATGACTTAATGTGTGCTTATTTCTCGGCTAGTCTT